GGAGCTGACTTCGCTCTCGGACCTCTAGGTGTGTCTCTGGCCTTGGCTTCGGTGGTGGACTTCATGTGGCCAATAACTGTACAGTACAGTAGGATCCTGGGCACTCGAGGCCGGCCGGAGGTGGACCCATGGGGCTTCGTGTTTCCCCTGGAGCTCCCAGTGTGGGCGGCCACCATGACGACGCTCCTGATGCTGTCCCTCACGCTGTTCCTGGCTTCAACGTTCTTGTCTCTAACTCACATTACCACAGAAAGTAGCTGGGAAAGGGACTCCTTCCATTTGATTAGTGCTTTGTTACAACAAGGTCAGTAATACTTTTGTGCTTTTATTGTATGTTTTCAGGATTGATTATTTTTTTCCCATTTAGTTTGTGGGAAAACTGCCAGGATTGATTTATGAGGAGAAATATTTAGGACTTATTATTCACTAAATTACAATTACTGTTTGTAAGAATAATATAGCTAAAAGTCCTTAGCTTTGTTTGTAAATCCTAATCCTCTAATCCTATGAAGGACAGTGGGCTGTAGGGGGCAGGTAGGACCTTAAAGGTGAATGGAGTCGTTGACTGGAGGTCCACAATCCACCTGCAGGCATTTCAACACATCAGCTTGAATTTTTATACCGGGACTAGCTGTACCCGGCCAAGCGTTGCTGAGACTCAGCAATGCATTGTTACGTAAAAGGGTTCTTCGTGTTGTATCGTCGCACCGAGATAGGAGTTGTAATATTAAGGAGTAATGTTAACACTTAAAATGTTGCATAAGAACGATGTAAACGACCGTAGGGGGTTGTTTGGTCAGCGCGGCACAGCTCGTCCAGTGACTCGAGTTCTGACGACCAATCGGAGTCACGAGATGAGGCAATGAATGTATGAAGAAAATGGGAGCAAGTAAGCATGCTCCACTCTCTCTCCAGCAATACGGACATTAAGTTCTAGCTGGAGGTTAACACCGTATGGGGTTTCCCCATTCTACCGATTTCGTGACAGAGTGGGAGTGTTTAGCCGTCTAAAGAACTAGATAATTTTTCCTAACAATTAGGTGTGTGTAGTGTATTGGACCATTGCTGAGGTTTAAACTGACAGAGGGAAAACTCTGCTTTATAGTATTTGAACCAGTCTGAGCAGCTAATGGTTCTGAAGTGAGCTAAAGAGACTAACAGGTGATCTGATGTTCTCATCAGAATAATGGGAACATGAAATGATCAGATGTTCCCATCACTGAAAAATAAGAACAGTAAAAAAAAACGAAATAAAAACAATGAAAAAATAAACAAATAAATTAAACTTGCAAAGTGAATGGTATGGTTAAACAACTCAGCTCATTTCCAATGCAATGTCACACAAAATAATTAAATCAAAATGAAAATATATTAAAATATATGAAAATTCAATTTAACAATGCAATCAGAAACATTGAAATGGAATTGCAACATATTTATTACAGCCTGTTGCTTTATGTCCAACAGAGGGCGCTGTTAAAAAAAGTACATGTTTTTGCATATCACAGGTTTAGAATCTATATAATAGGTATATAAACTCTTGAGGGTATTTGGATGGAACATTGTGTCAAAATTTCAAAGCAATCGGTGAAGAACTTTTGGAGATTACAGCGTGTGTTGATTTAAGGCCAACAGATGGTGCTATTTTTCAAAGAAAGCATGTTTTTACCTTTCACAGGTATGGCATGTATATAGCAGGTATATAAAAAAACTCAAGTATTCGAATGCAACGTGGTATCAAAATTTCAAAGATATCGGTGAAGAACTTTCGGATATTAGCAATTCTGAACAAAATGAACATTTATATTTTTATTTATATAGATTAGATTAATACCTGAGTTCTGTGACTGAACGCTGGTACTGTTCTAGATCAAGGATCTGAAAAAATAATCTAACCTAGCTTTAAAATTATAACAGCATACAATAATCACATACTAATAAACACAACAATTTGTATTAGAAAAGTATGATTTATATTCAAATATGCAAACAAGAAAAAATATTCAATATGATAAATTAATAGTTAAGTTAGCAATTGTTAATTTGATGTATAAGATCAATTATATATATACAGATATATTCAAATAAATATGAATGGATTTAGGCATTGAGTAAATTCAAGCATGAAACAAGATTCAATTAAGTAAAAGATTCAGTTGCTGAAAGATTATATCAAAACTTACTGAAACGTAGGGCGTATCCCCACAGTAAAATGATTAACAATTTATATGGACTTATTAAGGTTATGTTATGATGTATGCAATTGGTCAATCAACACACTACAAATAACACTCAATATTCATCCCAAAATTTTAAACCGGAGCCTTATCTGACTAGGTGCCAGACTGTATGATCTATCTAGAGGAGATAGGCTCTGTAATTTGATATTACAGCATTACTGTTGTTATTTTGATATCACCGCTTTGCTGTTCAAGATTCTAGTAGCTTTTGATAGATGATGTGGTGGAGGTGGCTTCATATTGTGAGCCAATCTACACTCTTATTTTAGATAGATGTATTGGGAATTATTTCTTATATATAGTGTCCAGGGAACTCCCTCAGTATCTAGAGCTATCACTGGTGATTATAATTAGTTTGCGTGTGTAAAGTCCGGCATGTATAATGTCTCAAACACTATGCACATAATGTCACTGTTTACAAACACTGGAGACTGGCCGCGAGCCGTGCTCTGGGCATTTGATCTCCGAGCTGGTTCCTCCCTCATAGTGTTTGAGGGAGGCCTATAAGCAATATTGACTGATTATTTTTTTGTTCAGACAGATTATTGAAATAAAATGTGATTATAATATAATTAGATATAGGATTTAAAGATTATAAGTAGTAATTGATAGTACAATTTATTCTTATTAAGGATTTGATTTAATCCTCACCGAAAATCGATTGATGTTGCAACAATTTTTAATTAAGTTCTTCTCGAACTTTCTAGATCCTTGAGAAATCATGCACAAAGTCCTATAGACACATATGGGTCCTTAAGGCGAACATGATCATATGGTCATGTAGGATCTAAATGATGTATAATACAAGATAATGAATCTGATTTTGATTGACCAGACCACACACTAGAAGTTGAAGGGACGACGACGTTTCGGTCCGTCCTGGACCATTCTCAAGTCGATTGTGCAAATGAATCTGATGTGATTGATGTAAAATATAGATTTGATATAGAAATAATGATTTCTTAGATAATAATATTGATATAGTGGGTAAAATTTTCCAAGTCTTCCAGAGGGGCAGAACTTGCATAGAGTCCAATATTTAGAATCTAATATGACCATATGTGTTCATTTTCTTTCCATCGGATTGATAATACAAGCACAAATTTTGTCTTCACTTTTGTGCAACTTTTCATTGTGGACGTATGTGCCTGTTAGGTGTCTGTGGATCATTTGGAGTTAGAGGTTCTGGGGGACTACCAGGATCTAACTTTTTTTATTTATTTATTTATTTATTTATATATACAGGAGTTCTTACATTCTTGTACAGCCACTACTACATGTAGCGTTTCGAGAAAGTCCTTAATCCTATGTTCCATGGAATATGACCCCGCGAAAAATCGTTTAACAACCAACTACCCATTTTACTGTTGAGTTAAACAGAGGCTACTGTTAAGGATTTGCGCCCAGTAAATCCTCCCCGGCCAGGATACGAACCCAGGACAATGCGCTCACGAAACGGAAGGCGAGCGTCTTAATCACTACACCACACCCTTTGCCCTAACTCTTCAGACCATGCCTTCCATGTCCCCTGACCCCAAACCCCCATGTTCCCCCCCCCCATCCCCATGCCCTTTTTCAGCCCAACCCCTATTCCAAGTCCTCCCTGTTCCTGAATTTCTTGTCCCCTAACTCCCCTTGCCACTTCGGGGGGGGGGGGGTATAGGGTGTTTATGTAGCTTCAAGGCACTAATCCCCTCAGCCACAGGGCATGGCGAGAAGGCACCCCTAAGCATACCTAATACCCTATCAAACACAAACTAAAATACACATATATGGCAGATCTCATCACATCCCACAAGAGTTAAGATGATACTAATAACACACAATGATAACCTGAAAAACAAAAATTAAATAGAAAATTCTTTGGTATTTGGTTTTTTCTTATATGGGACACAGCACACACAGGTAGGGGTGCACAGTATATCATTAAAAAAGAACTAACGCTGAAGGCCAAAACAGCAAGCTGCCTAAGCGGCAGGATTGATGACTTGACGTCGGCATACATGGAAAACTAGACATAGTGGAAGCTCCTAACAAGGCCCCGGAGCGGGAGGGATATCATGTATGCGCATGGGGGTCCCTCCGGCCGCCGCCTAACCCACTCGCGGGCTCCGGCCAGGTCGTCCACTCTCTTGTGAGACACCATTAGGAGAAGTGGTACTCCTGATGACGACTCAGCTTAGATAGTTGGCTACCAGCTATCCTGGCTGCGGTTCACCTAAGCGAGACTATATTGACCCTTATGCACCCTGTGCACGGTGATCCTGGGACTAAGGTGGTCTGCCCCTAGATGTGGTCTTGGACCATATTCTGTAGATGGAATATGTCCAGGTCAGGGCTTTCACAGAGCAAATGAAGGTCCTGAGTCTCACCAAGGTCGCTCTTGGTGAGACCCATGTCCTGTAGACCACGCGCACTCTCCTTGCACCATCCTCCCATCCAATTAAGGGTTATTGAAGAGGCGGATGCTGTGTGCTTCCCGGTATATTCCCTGACCTTTTGAAGGATCTCTGGGGTGCTGTACTTGTCGCACTTGCTCTAATGTGGTGTAGAGGTGACCCACGTGTTACAACAATAGTACAGTAATTCACCTGGAACTGTCGTCGTAGGGAGAGGAAGGGCTGGTAGGGTAGGTGGAGCAAGTCTAGGCTCCTCAGGAAGGGTAGGACAGAGGGAATCAATGCCTCTTAGGGGTCCTATGGGCACATATCCTAAGTGCCAGTGGTGCCGGGCAGGCGTCGTCCGCGTTGGGTCACATGCAGTTCAAATCTGGCCCACTCGGCCTGCGCGGGCTGCCGCGCGGGTAGGCCGTGCGCCGTCGTCGTCCACCAATCAGGGCACAGCCCTGCCTATACTGTAAAATGTCTCCTTGGCGGGCACTTTGAATGTGGTTCCCTCTACACTCCTCCCGTCCCTATAGAACAACGGGTATGTTGGAGGGAAAACGTTTCACTATATACAACATGTCTTTTTTGTAAAAAAGTCTATTTTCATGAATGGGTCCTATTACAATTATTACCCGTATTGTCTTTGCACTATACACGAACTGTTTCAACATTGCATA